TATATGATTCTAATTCCAAACAATATACCTTAAAATGAACTTTGGGAACCCAAGCTAGAAATTAACTTCCATGCTGACAGTCACATTTTCAGTGACTCCGTCATAAATATCAGCATTCTGCTGCTAGTCATTAGGTTTCAAAACTTTCTCAGTTTCAAAACTTCCCCAGTTTCAAAACTTCCCAAGTTTCAAAACTTGCCCAGTTTCAAAACTTGTCATTCTTGACTTTTCCTCCCTATGTCCTTTCATTCTATTAGTCATTAAATCTTGCTGATACTTTTAGAGAACATTTACCCATCGATCCTACAAGTAAGCCAAGCTCTCATCACTTCACACTTAGCCTACCTCAAGTCTGTGAACTGGTCTACCGGCCTGTGTCTCTCCCATGTCCCATCCAGGCTATCAGCACTAATGTCCTAAAAGAACGCTTGCAGAAAAAGCTCCCATGATCAAAACTTTGAAACGCTGTTCTGAAAACTTGAAAACCTCCTCAGCTCTAAAACTCTGGTGTTATCTGAGTTCCAAATAAGGTTTCATTTGAAAAATTAGATTTGCTACAAAAAAAATGAAAGACGAATGTCAAAAGCGAATGGGGTAGAGATAGTTAAATGTAAAAGATTAAGCAAGAAGGTGATCCTTACGAAGCTAAACATAAAGCCATTTTGTGGTATAATTCTCTCAGTTGTAATGTTTGCATTTTGATTATCACTGTTTTATTTGAACAGTACCTTTCTTCGTTATACCTTTTTAATGTGGAATTAATTACATAAAGCACACAATTGTGTTTTGTGTGTGAAATCACTTATGATGGAATAGATAGGAGAGCTGGAAGATTCTAAAATATGCTAATTTGGGGTGAAAAGATATTATAAATACTTATAAGGTTTTGTTTGTTAAAAAATTCAATTCTTTCCCAATCAAAATATGACATGTCATTTTAGTCTTAATAGGCCATTACATCACAAAAAGTAATGTAGCTCCTTTAAGACTGCAATTCTTGTAATTTATATTGAAGCAACACTGCTGTGTTAGTCATTTACAAATTTTTAAAGTAGAGTGTGAAGGTATTTTAAAAGTCATCTTCTAAAAATCTCTTTCATTCCGTAAGTGTTCCCTTATCCTAATATTATGGAATAAAGCTGGTTAATTTATCGATTCTTTTACTCCATTATTTTCCAAATGTCTGATGAATACCACCTTTTCTGGGGTATAGGAAACTACCATTTCATTCTTTACCTAATATGTTTGACAGACCTCTAATAGCATTGTAAATACAGACAGCTTCATACTTTAAACAATTTAATGGCTCTAAGCATTAGATTTGGCAAGAAAATCAGGAGCAATGTTACCACATTTAAATGATGCAATCATAGCAAAGGAAACATTAATTTTTGAGATAAAAAAATTATTTGAGAAAAAACAGTTTTTATTTATACAGTGTAAAAAATATTGGATCATACCTTACTGGTACAACTCTTGCACCTGCAGACTCCAGATATTTTACATAGGATGCAGCAATATAGTATTTTCCCAGGCTTCTCATGTCCTTATTACGGCACTCTTGCATTAATACTCCTGAATTACAAAGGAAGGAAGGAAGGAAGGAAAGAAAAAAGAAAGAAAGAAAAATAGTTTTAATTTCAAGCAATTTCCTTTTTTTCTTACTCAGAAACTGAAACAAATCACAATAAAAATACCACTACTTTGGGGCGCCTGGGTGGCTCAGTCGGTTAAGTGTCTGCGTTCGGCTCAGGTCATGATCCCAGGGTCCTGGGTTCAAGTCCCGCATTGGGCTCCTTGCTCAGTGGTGAGCCTGCTTCTCCCTCTGCCTGCAGCGCCCCCTGCTTGTGCTCTCTCTCTCTGACAAATAAATAAAATCTTAAAAATTAAAAAAAAAAAAATACCACTACTTTACTTGTTTCACTCACAGAATTAAATACAAAGCTTCTTCTGTAAGTACTTCCACAGACTTTGGGAAAAAACAGTGGAGGCTGCTCTGAGTTTTAAGTAGCCTCCTCTCTCTCACCTCATCAAGGAGACCAAATAAGCCCCAAAGCAGGTTTACAATAGCACCAGCCTCCTTCACACAACCTAGAATCAATCTCACATTCTTAAGCTAGAAGGAGGCCTCTCCTCTCCCACACACTCAAAGACACATTGTTTCCTTGACAATAGAGCAAAAGAGTGGAAAATATCTTCAATCTACATCTCTCCAACATCAGCAACATAATCTAAGCAACCAACATCCTGCCTCCTTCCCTTCAGACTATTACAATAGCTTCTTAAAAGGTCTATATCCTTTCTTAAACAATCCTCAACAACTCCAACCAGTTCTCCACATGGAAAGAAATCTGATCATATCACCATGCATTCATTCATTCACTTCTTCATTCAGTATGTTCCTGAATCATAATATATATAAGGCACTGAACTAGGTGCTGGAGACACATGAGCGAACAAAACAAAAATCCCTCCTTTATGGGCTTTAATCCTAGTATGTGGGAGGGAGAGAAGAGAGGATGAATAATTAACAAGATAAAAAGTTAAAATATAAAGTCTGATGGCTGGTGGTAAACGCTAAAGAAAAAAAGTAAAGCAGAGTAAGAAGGCCTGTTTTGGAGAGGGGGAGGAGTTGGTCCCATCCATCCAGGGGAAGAAAGTCTCTTAAATATGATGGCCAGGCAAGTCCTCCCTGAGAAGGTAGAACATGACACTTGAGAGCCAGGACTTCAGAGAGATGAGGAAGTAAACCATATGCAAGTATCTGGAAGAAGAGGGATCCAGGGGTGGAGGAACAGCAAGTGCAAAGGCCCTCAGTCACGTGTGTGCCTATCACATCTCAAGGAGTCCATATGACTAGAGCTCATGTAAGCAACGGGAGAAAACAATAGGAAATGAGATCAGAGATAACAAATCCACAGGGGGCATCTCCTTGTTTAAGTACCTCAATGGGTTCCTAAACTTTTGTAAACTCTACAAGACCCTGTGTGCTCTGCCCCACCTACCTCTCAGGCTACCTCTTATCACTGAAACCTCAGCCCCAGCACAGTCTGGCACCCAATATACATCCAAACATGTCTGTCTGGAGAATACACCTGTGCCAGTTTCATTCGCTGCTTCACCATTTGGAACACTTCATTGTCTCCGTAGGCCACCTGACAGGAAGAGCTGTCTATACTTCTCTATTTCCAGCTTGTCACAAAAATTGGCATTGTCAGGCACTCAGTTAACACATGCCAAATGCCAAAATTTGTTAAGTCAGTCGGCCTTCACCGAGGAAAATGAAATGTGGTAGAGAAAGAATGAGGGAGTGTCACAGGAAATGGGGAATGGACTGGTACAAGGCAGGCAAGGGGAGGGGCCACAAAAAAGGGTTTGGGACATGTGAACATAAGTACCAGAAAGGAGAAAAGTATATTAGAATAGGTACGTTCCACCAACTTCTCCCCCACCCTGCCCCTTTACCCACCTACTCACTTTTTCCATCTGTGGACAGGAAAAGCTCAACCTGTAAGTCCCTTAAAATGGGACCAAAATTCCACCCATACTTTAAGGCCACCTCACAACTTTTGAGGTTTCCTTGTCTGTGAATCCTCTGCACATCCTAATTCAATGCCTTGAACATACTAGGTGCTTAGTTAACTATTTGTCTTAAGTGATGTGACTGAAAGCACACTCCTTTTTCTGTAATTGACCCCAGACGACCACTGTTTCCAGGAAAGGGAAAAGAATCCCCCCACCTCTTTTTCCCCTTTTCCCTCCTCTCTATACTCACAATTCCCAACACACTACCTAGAATTTTATTTTGAGTTAATTCTCCTTGGAGAACCTAACCACCATTTTAAATAGCTATGAAATAAGGCATTCCAAGTTCCAAATATTGATACAGAACCCATTTGAAAACCAGGCACTAGCAATATATATGAAAAAAAAAATACTCATTTACTTACTATTTAGTTACAGAATATGATGTTCCCCTTCCCAGAAGGTAAAAGAGTTTGAATGGCATAATACTACCTCTAAAATAAAGCCAATCTTAATCGTTTGACATAAATTGCTTCTGGCAAATTTTAATTCTAGGCTGATTGACTTCTCCTGGGTAGCCTTCCCCCCTTCCCTGTCTCGAATGTCTATTCTGGCAATGCAAACTGATTTTACTCTTTAAAACACAAATTTGTTGGAAACGAAAAATTACATGCTTCGCTTTAACACCAGTAGAACTGACGTTAGGGTTATACTAGCCACTGCGGCCCTCCGGTGCAGCATCCAAAGTATACCATAATTTCTTGATTATCTGGTCAATTCGATTTTTATAGGGATAATGCAAAGATAAGGCATATCTTAAAATATGCCCTCACTCCCTGAAATTTTAATAACATATGTATGTACAGAGTTTGGTGAGTTAGTAGAAATTCCTAGCTATGTACAAAAAAAAAACAATCCGCAGGATTCGTTCCGGCGCACCCTCCTCCCTTTCAACTTCAAGAGCCGAATGAATTTGAGGAAACCACCAGGCATTAGCTCTATTTCGGCACGATCGAAACGGTGTCTTGGCTCGGCTCTTACTCGCTACAAATGAAGGCACACATCGTAACCCTGGACTCGGGTACCTCCAAGGCGGGACGCAGCAGCTGGAACCCAGCAGCGGGAAGCGTCCAGGACGGACACCTGGCCGCAGGCCCGCGGCTCCCACCCAGCCTTCTTACCGATGATGGGCTTCTTGGAAGTGGAGGCGCGAGAAGCGCACAGCCCGGGGCTCGCCGCCCCGCACAGGACCAAGCCCAGCACACACAGCAGGCGCTCCAGTCTCGCCATCGTGCTCGCCGCCTCCCGCTGCCTTTCAAAGGCACAGCTGGCAGGTCACCGAGGCCGGCTGCAGCGGCGGCGGCGGCGGCGGCGTGGGCGGTCTCCCGGCCGCACAGGGGCTACAGGCGAGGGCGGTGCCCCACCGCGGGGGCCTATGGGAAATGCAGTTCCGGCGCGCGCAGCGGTCGCAGGGCGGGAGCGGCCGGTTCTGGGGACGCAGTCGCCCCTCTTGCCTCATCGCTCGGCCCTCACTCTGCCCACCCGCGAGCCCGCGACCGCTGCTTCTGCCCGGTGGCCCGTGAGGAGAAGACCGGAAACTTCTGGGTGGGCCTGGGGTGGGCGGAATCTTCCCTTTCAACTGTGCCATGGAGGTGACCTTCAGTCACCCGTAACGGAGCACAGGCTCTCGGAGGGGAACCCCTGGGTCCCGGCCTGACCGAATCTTGTAACCAGGCAGCAAGCGGGGCCCCTGAGAGATTCGAGAAGTCGCCTGAGAACTTTGTGCCAACTGTAGCTCCCGCCCGAAAGGCCGGACCGTGTCATTAAGAATGCTGACAGCCAAGTTGGGCATTCCAACGTTCCGTGGAAGGACAGACAGTGACTTCAGAGGTAATTTCTACATCCTGCTATTTGTTTTCAGGGTCGAGGCAGCTGGAGGAAACGAAGGGAAGAGGGAAGGACGATGGATGTGCACGCGTTCCCGGGTGCGCGGCCTCGCTTCCGAAGTGGCTCAAGGAGGGGCCAACTCCTGGCATCCCCTGCAGAGGGGCACGTCCCCTTTACTGTTAGCCTCAACCACAGACTTGCCTGTCCTGCACACAGGGGCAGAAATGATACTTTGGTTCCTGGGCGTTAGAACTATTTTGAGGGTTCTGTTTAAAAATTTTAGAAAAGCTTTAGAATCACTAGGCATATTTTGGTGGGAAGGTAGAAAAAAAAAAAGAAACCTTTTTCCTTCTGTGTGGAAACCTAGCTGTATAGATAGGGCTTGTACTAGGTGGAAGTGCCCACCTACAAGGGCCAAATTAAATTAAGAATAAAATTCTTTGACAAATATCAGAAGTCTGTTCAATCAGTGCTAATTATTGAGGATGCAAAGGTGAATTGGACAATGTGTTTTTTAGAAGTTTATAATTTAGGAAGGAGAAAAGACAGGAAGAGGACATGACTTATGGAGAGAGCAAGAATAGAGTTTTGGTATTCAAGAAGAGTGACTGCAATAAGTAGTCTGGTTTGACAAGAAAATAATGCTACTGTGGAAGGGCGTGGTGAGAGAGAAGCCCAAAGGATGTGATTAAAGATACTAGGAAAGGCCTTAAGTACTCAGCTGGTTCTGAGCATAATTGAACAGAGGAAGAGCCTTGGTAAATATGAATTTGTGGTGTTGGAGCAGGTATCTATCTGCAGACAAAAAATCATTACCTGCCATTTTACACAAAAATAAACTCCGTTTAAATAAAGATGTAAATGTGAAAAACAAAATATACTCCAATAAGAAAATATAGTAGTACATGTTCATGACACTGGGGGTCAGAAGGATTTTATAAAACATTGTATAAAAAGATACAGATGTTAATGGAGAAAAATAATAGATTTGACAGTGCTGTAGCTTTGAAACATCTGTATAACTTTAAGAAAATTAAAGATAAGGCACAAACTTGGAAAATATGTTTACAAAATATAGAATTTAAAAGTTTATTTCTAAAATATACAAAGGACTCAATAAAGGACAACATCCGAAAAGAAAACTAGGGAAAGAATATGAAAAGACAAACCAAACCTTCAATAGCCATCAGGGCAATGTAAATTAAGATAATACGTCACATCCATCAGATTGACGAAAATGTAAACCTTGAAAATAATAAAGTGTGTAGAAAATGAGAATTCTTTAACGCTGCTAGTAGAATTGTAAATTATTACAACCATTATTGAAAGCAGTTAGAGAATATCTGGTAAAGGTGAAGATGCACATATTCTGGGGGCACCTGGGTGGCTCAGTCGGTTAAGCGGCTGCCTTCAGCTCGGGTCATGATCTTGGGGTCCTAGAATTGACCCCCGAGCCCTGTGTCTGGCTCCCTACTCACCTGAGGGCCTGCTTCTCCCTCTCCCTCTGCCGCTTTCTCTCCCCTACCCTCCGCCCTGCTCCTGCTCTCTCTCTCAAATAAATAAATAAAATCTTTTAAAAAATGCACATATTCTATAAACCAGCACTTTTCAGACATACTACATATATACCCTAGAGAAATGCTTGGATGTGTGAATAAAGAAATAGACATAAGTATGTTCTTTGTTAACATTTTTTTGATAATAGTGAAATATTAAATGCAATGTAAATGACGTATAAGAGAATGGGTAATAAATTGAAGAATTAGTAGACTATTAGAAAGCATGAAAATGAATGAATTGGAGCTGCTTATGAACAAAGATAAATTTGTATTAATAAGAGATAACAGGGTCTTGAGGATAATGTCAACCACCTGAACCAAAAACTCTCCACACATTTTCAAAAAAACATTATGTACAAGCAGTGCAAATATAATTACGTGTGATTCAGGCCTTTAGCAATATCAGGAGACAGAGGATACCACAAACATTCAGTTATCAGAAAATTGATAGTACCAAATTTTAAAACGCATCCTCCACTGCTGCAAGACATCTAGACGCTGAGAGTGGGAGAGGCAGGGCTTCAGAGAATCTTTGAAAAAGAAAAAAGGGAGTGGATGATTAAACAAAGCATAGGCAAAATCAAACCTTGAAAGAAAATGTCAAATGTTAAGTGCCAACATACTGAACATAGCCTGGGTCTTGGTAAGTTATAGCAAGAAGGAACTTGAAAGTAAGAGACCAGAAGTGGAAGCTTCAGAAAGCATTACTTTTGAAGAAGAATCAGCTACACTGACAAGTGGGTAGTGTCCCTTAAAGACATGGCAATGGAGGGAAAGAAAGAAGGGGAAAAATTAAGGATTCCACAGAAACAGAAGAAATAAGTCATGCCAGCCACCCTACCTCACCCCTACATACATAAAACTGCCACCACAAAAACATTATCTCTTAAAGGAATTATACTTCACTATACTGACACAATAAAATACTTTTCAAGTAGAAAATTGTCCACAAAAGTCTTATTAAAAAAAAAAAATCAGGCCAACACAATGTAAAACTATTCTGAGGTGAAACAAAAAAGATAAGTTGTAACATTTCACCTAAAGAAAATTTTCCCTCAAAACAACAAAGCTGTAAGACCAAGCTCCAAACTAAAGTATTCTCAAACAAGCATTAGATAAATGTGTATATGTGTATGTAGCAAGTCTAGTTCACAACCTGAGAAAAGAAGTGGACAAAAACAGGAAGGAATGCCTCAAGAGTTGATCTAATCAGGAAAAATTTGAAGGAAAAGACAAAACCATCTCACAAGTGAAGAATAAATTACCACTGTCTGTCTAAGGCAGAAAAGATTCAAGTAGAATTTTAATAAACATCGGTGAAGAAAAGGAGGAAACAACCAACGGAATGAAAAAGTAAAACAGTTCTGAGAAAAAGTGCTTAAAATGGAAGGCAAAGAAGATTCAACATATGTATTATTGGAGTCCTGGAAGAAGAAGAAAACAAAGCAATGGAACAAAAGCAGTATTTATCACTATAATCCAAGAGACTTTCTGTAAGTAAGAGAAAAATGGTAAAATCAACCTGAAATGACCGACTCTGAGACTTATCCTAGTAAAACCATTGGACATTAAGGAAAAAGGAGAAATTATGAAGGCCACTGAGCAAAATAACCAGTTTACTTATGTGGGTAAGAATATTAGGATGACCTCACACTTTTCAAGAGCAACATAAAAGTCAAGGCAATAATGGAGCATCATTTTAAGAAAACTTAACATAAATTCTTAGATTTCTGTATGCAGCTGAAGTATGAGGACTATAGAAACACATAACTGTTCTCACACACCTTTCCTGGAAAACAATCTAGAAGATGAATTTCATCTAAAGAGAAGATGACTTGGAAAATATATCAAAATAACTGATGGTGAGCATTTAATATATTTCATTATAGTACTAATACTAAAATAAGAGTAAGGACATGGGTCAAAGAGTAGAATATAAACATCTATTCTGCCCAGTAGGAAGAATGCAAGTTAAAAAATGAGAGGAAAGGAGAGAGAGGAAGGGAAAACTAAAATAAAATCACCTTGTATAGGTATTTGTGGGAGTCAAAACGTGCCATTTAAAACTCACCAACCGAACAGAAAAAGTTAAGAATAAGAACAAAGGGCATGATAAAAGTTGTATAATTAATTATACCTATGCACGTAGATATAAGGCAATGGATCCTAGCTGGAAAAGAGAAAGCAGTGGAGTTTTTTGTAGTTACATAGGCTGGCAAAAAAAAAAAAAAATTGGAAAATATAAAGTACATGGTTAGATTTTCCCTTGGGACATGTGCTGAATTCTGGGATGGTACCAGAAACTGAGGAAGGCTGAATAGGAAGGGCAAAATGAAACATTCACTTGTCTTGCAGAGCTTTGGAAACAAAGTTCCATTAGAAGGAGGAAGCCTTCAGCAAACCCACAATAGATGCTTCAGGGCATTTACCATATTTTTAACCTGCAAAAGATGGGTACTAAGTTTAAAATCTGCCAAAGGTAGAATTTTCAAGGCTGAGAAAAAAAAGAGTATGCAGAGTATCAATCAAAAGCCCAAGAGGACCAGGGCACTTGGGTGGCTCAGTCGGTTGAGAATTCACTCTTGATTTTGGCTCAGATCCTGATCTCAAGGTCCTGAGACAGAGCCCCGCATTGGGCTCCATGCTGAGTGTGGAGCCTGCTTAGGATTCTCTCTCTCTCCCTCTCCCTCTACCCCTCCCTCCGCTCTCATGCGCTCACTCTCTCTCTCAAAAATTAATTAATAAGCCCAAGAGGAACAATCGTGAAGAATGGGGATGAACCAGAGATAGACTGAATCTTACTAAATTAGCAACCCAGTATAAGACCTGATTGGATTGACTAGCCTTTCACTCTATCTGACAAAAGGAAGGAAGAATCATTGCTAATGGAAGATACTATCCGGAGCCTCTACAGTTAAATGCAATGTCCAACATACAATAAAATATTTTTTAAAATGTGAAGAAGCAGAAATAAGTAATAGTAATATAAAAAGAAAAGTAAAATCAAAGACCCATAGATGATCCTGATATTGCAATTAGAAGACAAGGCTTTTATTTTAAATAAAATGATTAATTTTAAATAAAATGGAGAAAAATATGGGCAAAATGGATGAGAAGTTTTCAGCAGAGAATTGGAATCTATAAAAAAGAATTTTAAATTCTCTTTATTTTGCCTAAAGAATGTCTCCTTGTTTTATTTTGTTTTAAGGATTTTATTTATTTATTTGACATAAAGAGAGCTCACAAGCAGGGAGAGTGGGAGAGGGAGAAGCAGGCTCCCCTCTGAGCAGGGAGCCCGACACAGGGCTCGATCCCAGGACCCCAGGATCACGACCTGAGCCGAAGGCAGACACCTAACCAACTGAGGCACCCAGGTGCCCCTCCTTGTTTTGTATAACAATTTTAACTGCAAGACATAACATCATCAGAGGGTCCTGTTTTATTAGTATGTGTGTTCCTAAGACTGTAAGCACTGTAAGTTATCTAACAAAAACAGCTAAACAAAAGCCTTAGTAACTTTAATACAGTATAATGCAAAGCAAAAATCAAAAGTGGGCACCTAGAGTAAAACACATTGAATTTTTCTTCAAAATCAGGGAGATAGCAAAACAGAAATCACCACTGGAATGTCAAAGAATAAAACAGACCACTAGAGCTAACACACAAACAAAACACAAGCAAAACTGATACCTGTCCTTCCCACTGTACTGGCATGTATGTATTTATTTTTTTCCCCCCACTGTATTTGTATTTAGATGTGGTAAGTAAAATCTCCAAAATGACCTTTTTCCTTAAGGACCATTTGAAACGATAAAGTTTATTATTAGTAACATGTTTTTCTTAAATATTTATAATAGCATTATCCCATCTAACTGGGCCTAGGATATAT